TAAGTCGTTATGCTGCCGAAATTTAGTTAGGCGAAATTTAGTTAGGCAAAATTTAGTTAGGAAACCAGAATTTTAATAAGTTCATTAACACAATTTAATTAATAAAACTTGAAATAGGAGGTCCCGTTCATTTCACCGATTCGAGTTTTGCTACAGTAAAAAACTCTCAAAAACAGTCACATCTAACTTTTTTACTATAATAAAAAACTTTCACATAAAATTACATCTCAACTCGAATTAAAAACTCGAATCAACGAATTAAACGGGCCCAAATTTTCTTATTCAACAATTGGAACAAATTTAATATTCCAATTTTTTTAATCATATAGTAGCTGAACCCAAAACCATATTTGTCGTACTTCGTAGCATGCATAATCTGACACATTTTGATTACTCCAATTATATGCACATTAAAAAGTCCCCTTCATTTGGATCGAATGGTGTGTTCCACCAAAAACAAAAGAAACTACTTATATTATGTACGAAATTAATTCTTATGTCTTTTTTTCCCGTGTGTTCTTTTACATCTTTCTAATAATATTATACTACATTAATTATAATGTCACGTTAACTAATGTGTGAGGATCTTATTTAGAGAACATGATAAGAAATATAAAAATAGGACATATGAACTCAATCCATCATATCCAAACTAGTATTGTAGACGCATTTTGCAAGATTATGAGCTTCATTAAAGGCTTAGATCGAGAAAAAGACAAGTTGTTTGTAAGAGAAAATGAAAAAACAAAGCAAGATGCAAAGTTGACTCCCTTAATTAAGGCGATATGATAGTAATTGATTTATGACTTTACAACATATTATGAGCTAAGAAATATCCGAATTGTACACGAGAATAAATAAAAAAGAAGAGACAAAACAAGAAAGATTTTGTGAGAAATTAATTAAGAAGTTATTTGGATGGATTTAATACAACGAGTAACATTTCCCTTCAATGCAAACCAAGCAACAATTTTTTTTTTTTAAAGACTATTATCACGAAAAAATAAACAAACACTAGTTTTAAAATTAAACAAGACATCTGAAAAACCTAAACAAATATTCTTCAACAAAATAAAAAATAGACTTCTATAAATACTAATCAAAGATTAAGAAAACCAATAAAGATTAATGGAAAAACTAAAAATCCAGACTTTCAAGAAATCTAAAAGAAGACTTCTAAAAACACTAATAAAAGAAAATATATGTAAATTATTGCAAATTTTGCAAGATTATGAGCTGCGTATTTGATTATCTTGAATTTGACCGTGGACATATTTGGTATTTTATCAACTTGATTCGAAGAAAAAGACAAGTTATTAGTGCAAGAAGTAGAACAATGGAAAAACAAAGCAAGGAAATTGATTCACTTAAATTATAGGGGATAAAGTAGTTACCATGGTTAATGTAATTGATAATTAAACTTAACATATTATATATGAGGCTATGAGCTAAGAAAAATCCCAATTGTACACGAGGAAAGTTACTATATATTGGAAGTCAGCGTAATTACCGACTACTTTCAAATTGTTGCACAATGTTAATATATTATACTGGTTATTGTGATCTACAAAGTTACACAAAACCGCAACTCTTTAAATAAAATAAAATAATAGGATCGACAAAGTCATCACCCACACCATTGTTGACTTTGAGCTGCCGCGCTATTTGAGGTCACTTACTAAAAATAATTATAAATCAATGACAGCATGCAAAATAATTTAAAGCCATTTGCACAAAAGAAAATATATCTATTAAATCTTAGGTAAGAATAATAAAATAAAAGTCCATTAATATTATTTATTTAATAATTTAATAATTATCTTAATATTAAAATCTTATTGGTTATGAGGGGTTACAACACTTATGAAGAGATGTGTACTTTGATGGAAGACACTAATTTATGATCTATAAAATAAGAGTTTTGTCCTCCTCTACCTAAGAATTATATATTTTCTCTCCATCAGAAAAAAATACATTAAAGATTACAGAGAATATAGAGAGAGAAACTTAGGGCCTGTTTGTTTGCGTTTTTATTTTCATTTTTCACGGTTTTCAAAGCAAAAAAATTAAAACGGGTGTTAAAAACGTATTTGGTGCAATTTTTTTTAAAAAACAAAACCAAAAACGTTTTTGTCTTTTTGTGTAAATCAGAAAACGAAAAAAAGATGTTTTCATTTTCTCGTTTTCGTTTTCTGTTTTCTGAAAAACGGATTTCCCTTTTTTTTTTTTT